TACATTTTTCAGGACAGCCATTCACTTAGAAGATGGAATATCCTGATATAGCTATTGATGTGAGGTGAAAAATATTATCATCCATCTGACCAGGCAGTTGTTTTCCCATTGTTGCTTGGTCCAGTTATGATCTTTATGGACCCACTATAGTTGTAAACATCAATGATGCTGGGTTAACAGAGGCATGTGAGATTGGCATCTGCTGAGTTCCATATCCAGTAGAACTCCATCAACTGTGTACTCAGATACATATATATTTGGACTTGCATTGTGTTTACCTATCATCTAAGCCATAGGCAATCACCTAGTGCTCCATCAAGTGGAACACTTTCTGAAGTCTGAATTTGTTAATCAAGTATGAATTTCTATCACCTTGATGCCTACTACTGGTTTCACCATCTTCTTTTTATTTTCTATTGGAGCTAAGAACATTGGTGCTCATAAGCATCTGATGTGAAATGTTATTTCGGAGATTTTCATTCCTTGCTTTCAGGTCATCGCAATTTGACCTTTATCGAAGTTACTTAAATCAGCAACCTTTCCCATTACATGTGGACATGGGCAACAAAATGATGCCTCAGTATGCATGGAAGTTGTTAAAAGACATTTCCATTTGCCATACCATCTTTCTCATTCCACATGTGCATTCTTACAATGTTAGGTATGGTGATAATGCTTGTGTTGAGTAGTGCATATTTTCTTTCTCTCTGTCAAACTTATAATCATTTTTATATTTTCAAGCATGTGTAATTTAAATTTCATACTGACTATGAAGACAAAACTCTATTATGTATATAATTATTATAATACTGTTTCTCTTGAATAAATTTGTTTCTCCTATAATACTAATGTTTAATATTGAGAAGTTTAAAATGCAAGATACAATACAAAGTCCGAAATCCAGATGTCCATTATCTGGAATGATCTAAAATCCGGACCTCAAAACCACCAACAGTTTTTCTCCTAGGCTTTACGCATGTGCATTTGGTTCCCTCTTCACGCACAATAAAGCATCTAGAGAGTTCCGATTCTTAATTTCACTTCAACACTAAATAAAATATCTGCTTGGCACACATCTCAAACCGAAACATACCTCATAGATGCATCATTGATCTGATGCCAACCTGGCAAATCATTATTTATTATACTTTCCTTTCATCATCGCATGTTTATCAAAACATGACAACTTGAGTAATGACTCATGTAACGATGCCTAAACAATTTTTTTATGTTAGTAATTGAATAATAAAGGAGTATGGTAACCTTTTATGTTGAGATTTCACTTGGTGAAGGAGCATTTAAGTTAATTGCGCTAAAAAATGCTAAAAATAGATTTTGTTGATGATACTCATAGACCCAAAGATTACATTTAGTGCTATTTGAATTAAGAATAACTGATTTGTTATTAACATAAACCCAGAACCAGCGCCAGAGCTTGTATGGCCATACCGAGTCGCAGAATTGAGGACTTACAGAGACTGCATCAGGCAGTAAGATATCTAGCCCGGCCCTCAATAAGGCTTAAGTTTATGTGGGAATTTATGTATTCAGAACTCTGATAAGCAAGTGCAAGAAATAGGTATAAATATAATAAATAACTAATACAATTCAGGCTTAATTGTCTCAATGCGTGATAGAAGCAAGATAAAATTTAACGGAACAACTTGTCGTTGGTCGTCGAGCTCATGATGCATAGCCAAATATGTAAGTGAAAGATAACTAAATTTGATGATGATAGCCGTTAATTTTAAAAGTTTTCGGATATCCCAAAACAAAGGTGAAATTTTCCAATTAATGGATTTTGCGAAGAAATGTGGAGAAGCAGTAATAAATGAAGATGCTATAAAAGAAGTTTTTCATTGTGATGACAATGCTTCTCAATCATCAATCAATTAATGAATGGCAAAATCTGTAGTATGGTTCTAGATCCAAAAAATACCACTACCAATTCGGAAGAAAGTGACAGAGCAGTTACTGAAAACAAGAAAATTTCGATTGACAAGTTAGTCAGAATTCTCGAAACAGCAGTTACATGACTTCAACAATGTAACTGAACAAGAGATTATGTCTGTCTACAAAATTAAGAGAAAGTATTAGCCTAAAAAACGAAGCAACTTAAACAACTTACATTGAAAGAAATGTTTAATAAGGTAAAAATAAATATTAAGCTTTTTTTTTTTTTTTGGAAATTTTGATACCCTTTAGATTATAAATACTTCATTATTTCATAAATCACGATTTCATATTTTTAATTTTATAATTTCTGCATGCCATCTTACTAGATTTAAAACTGATGATCTAATATCCGGAAAAATCCCAAATCCAGAATCGCCGAAGTCCCAACGAGTCCGGCGATTCCGGATTTGGGGTCGAGTCCAGATTTCGGACTTTGTATTGTATTCATTAACAAGCAATAAAATATTTTACTTCTCACAAAACAAGAAAGTTGAAGGAAGATTGCAGACTTTCGTTAGAGTTCATAAGACAAATTAATCTGTGACGTACATGATGTTATGAAGCTTCATTTTGTGCATAATGAATTTTAAACATATGACAACAATAATTTCATATGTACAGTCAAAAGTTGTTAATTTGGACACCCATAATCGAATGATCTATAATCCGGACCTCGAAGCTAAAAACTTTCTTTTGCATGCGCCGCGTTGACACATGCGCATAGGCGTTTACGCGTGCACGTAAGAGCCTCTTATGACTGCGCTGCGTGTGCGTGTGCGCAAGCGATGAACGAAACGTTTTATCGCTGCGCATTTTATTATTAAGACGTTGTATTTTCCTTAAAATTAAATGCGGCTTTTATTTTTCCAGACTGTATGCAGCAATACAAGTTAACTTTCGATTATGTGAAATTTTCGAATCTGGAACTCCCGAAGGATCGTACAAAACAAAAGTATGTTTCGATGTCCATCAAACAAAAGTGGAATTGCTGCAAAAAATGGAAAAGACATGAAGAATGTGACAGAGAGGTTAGTGAAAACGAAAAAAAAATTAGTCGGTATTCTCGGCACAGCAATTACGGGACTTGAACAGCGGAACTTTGTCTGAACAAAAAATTATGTCTGTTTATAGAATTAAAGAAAGTATTATCACATTAAACGAAGCAACTTAAACAACTTACATGGAAAGAAATGTTAATAAAGTAAACAAATAATATTAAGCTTTTTTTGTAAATTTGATACCCTTTAGATCATAATTGTTCTTTATTTCATAAATTATGGTTTCAAATTTTTTATTTTAGAATTTCTGCTTGCCATCTTACTAAATTACTACATCTTACGCAATTTAAACTGATGATCTATAATCCGGAATCGCCGAAGTCCCACGAGTCCGGATTAACGACTTTTAACTGTATATGTATTTGTAATTGTTGTTTTACACACAAAAAAAGTGATTTACTTACTTACCCTTCCCCTCGTCCACCGGCTGTGACTGGTCGGTCATCTTAGACAGGATTATAACTTTTCTTCATATCTAGTCTCTTTTGATGAAAACCATGGCACACCTCTGTGTTATATATATATATATATATATGGGTGGTCATCTTAGGGAGGATCATAACTTTTCGTCATAGCTAGTCTCATTTGGTGAAAACATTTGGTCATTAGTACACCTTTGTGTTTTGCACACATTCCGACACTCGCACTTTTAATACAAAATATAAGATCAAAATTTACAGGTGCGTTATACATCAGATATAAAAATAACAGATTTATAAATAAGGAAAATATGAGCTTACACAAATTATGTTTCTGCATATACCTAAATGTTGTTTGTTTAAAAGATATGACTTTTCTTATGAACTTACAAAATTTGCTTGTCTGATAATATGAGTCGATCATATTTGTCTTCTGTTACATCTTCAGGCACATCATCAAATTCTGTTTCATCTAGATCAGGGGTTGCCAACCCTATGCCCGTGTGCACGATGGTGCCCGCTGATCGTTTAACATGTGCCCACAGCTTTATGATCATAATAAAAATGTTTCAGTTTTCAATAAAATTCTATGCTAGTTTCCTTACTTTTGATGAAATAGAAATTGCGTCCAACACAGATGATACCAGCACAAAGCGAAATGTGGCCAATCTCTTTTTTTATGTGCATGTATTATTAACTCTATCCAACTGTAAATTCACCTTGAAAAAATAAATGGTGCTTGCAGTCCAACAGATATTCTAGAAAGGCAAAAAGGTTGTGGATCCCTGATCTAGATTGTTAGGCGTACTACATTTTTAATGATTTGGATTATATTGAGTTTAATTCCATTTCATGCTTTTGTTATCTACTAACACACTATTTCTAGAGTGGCATGATGCATTTGTTCTCTTTTTCCTTCTTTGCCTTCGATGTTCACTTCAAAATCACAGCTTCAAGAAAACATGTAACATGTAACTGCTAATTCATTCTTGTCAAAAGTGCATTGTTACCTCAAATAATGTCCCCCTCTTTTCTCAAAACACTAGAATAACATTCTTGTGCATAGCTGCATTGAATACAACACACCCTTTTTGCAAATTATTTATCCCTCAAACATTTCTCCACCACTACACATATTGTTCCCTTATCACTTTGTTAATTCAGTACACCATTTAGGTTAAAATAACACGCCAAACAACGATTAGTTTAGAAGTCAACAAAAATCAGTGTTCTATTTGCAAATCTTCCAGGACTAGTTTCAATAGTTTTACCGAACCATCGAAACTAGTCCTGGAAAATCTGACGCTGATTTTTGTTGTTTGACTTCTAAATTAACTAGTATACCATTATTCGAAAGCCTGGGGAAAATCTTTGAATGAATGACATCAAAAGATAAAAGCATTGCACATGTTTCTTTATAAATAGGAAGGAGTGCATATTATACAGCAAATATACCTAAAACTAAAAAATGTAATTTAAAATTATAGGTAAGCATTATATGCTGGAATATATGTTTTATATATATATTAAGTGTTTTTATAATTTTTCCTCTTGTTTAAAATTTTAGGTTTTATGGAAGAATTGCTCTTAATCCTAATGACCATGATGCTCATACTTTAGAAGCTATTAGAAATAATGCTGAAGGTTTAAGTCGTGAGTATTTGCATATTTTAGCCCCATTTTTATGAATAATATATTGTATCTGGAGATCACTGTAAACTAAATACAATGTGCATTTCAAGATACTTGATGGAAAATTGCCCCACCAGTGGTCAAGTAGCTAAAACCACTGACTGGTAACTTAACTGGATTTGATTGCTCTCAAAAAGGCCTAGCTGCTTGGTTGGTTTTTGTGTTTTTCCCTATGTGTAACGTGAATTCAATCAGTTTACCTTAGAAAGTCCTCCACAAATGTATCTCACCTCCTAGTCAGATAGTATTGTGTACTCTGACATATTCAAATAACCTAACTTGATGGAAATTGTAAATGATTTCACATTTTATGGATTTGTTGAATCTTTATTGATTTCTGGCTCATTAAATTGTATGCATGAAAAAGTGGGCATCAAGCATTCCATACTACATAAACATGTGAACTTGTTGATCACTGATGTTATATTTAGATCTGTTTATATAATATATCTGATAAATAGTTATCGATTGTCAGTATGCAAGATTATGAAGTATTAATTGTATTCCCTAGAAATGTATTTGGTAACTTCATGTGATAATATTTGCTAAAACATGTATAAAGTAGAAATTGTGATGTTTTGAATTCTAATCGGTATATTTATAAAAAAGCAAAAAAATTAAATAGCTTTCAGAGCAAGCAAAACCATCTATGTCATCTATTTATAAATAAAAAAAAGTTATTTTTTAAGTTATGGTATAACTGAAGTATTTATATTTATCGAAAAATTGATCATGAATGATAATTGGCTAGTGCTTCCAATTAGAACTACCATCTCAGAAGAAGATATATTAAAACCTAAGAAATATATAAGGAATGAAATATTGAATATTAATAAAGTTACTTTTGCAAACTATATGCAATTGATAAAAAGATTAGAGGGCAATCCACTCTGATATTTTATTTTACACAAGTATTTTTTACAAAAAAAAAAAAAAAAAAGTTATAGCTCTTGAAATTTATTTGTATTTTTCACAAGTGCTTGTTACCAAAAAATGGAAATAAAGAAATTGCTTCAGCACTATGGATTTCTCTGTTGGATTACAAATGATTCATCAGATTTCAAAACATTATATCGTACTGCAAAAGTAAAGTAAAAAATCATAAATTTTAGTTATAACATTATAAATGTTCTGTGTATGCTCTATTCATTGTGGAACATGAACAGCTAGAACAGCATGTGTTCCTTGAGCTCTTTTAATATTGCTGGTAGCAGCGCACATTGCCTTTAATGTATCTGCAAAGAAAAAGAAATACTAAGCATAAGGTCAGGAGACCTGATGATCATTTGAACAATGCTAGGTCATCTTTTTCCACATCAACCAAACCAATAATATGGGAGCTGATCATTCAGTGAGTGATGTATCTCATTCAGTGAGGCTTGCTGAAATATGAAGTTTTCCAATTTTCATTTCATATATAATACAAGTGGCAAAATTATTTTACAATGCTTTCTGCATACAGTTACAAAACTTTACTGCTTGATTACAGTTGCCTGGTAATAAATGTTGTAATATCTGATATAATGTTGCCGATTAAATTACCTAGATGTCATTTCTGGCTAATACAGCTTTTCATTATGTACTGAAAATATACAATAACTTCTTTCCAGCAGAGGGTGGTGAAAGGTCTCTAACCTTTTTTAAGGTCAGCACAAAGTTATCACCAATATGTGAATTTACGACCAACTTTGGAAAGAGAATTCCATGCATGGTGATCTAAAACAAGAGAGATCTCTTTATGGCCACTTTAAGCCTTGGAGAAAAAGGGGTTTGTTAAATTGTAAAAGATATTGTTTCATTTACAGTTAATGGTTGGCAGCATTACTACCAAGTTCATAGTTGGTGCAGTTTGTTGATTTTAGTGAGTTAGTTACTCATGAAACTTTAACTTTCTTAGTAGCTCGTTAAAAGAGCTTAGCCCTGTATGGCGTTTTTCTTTAGTCAGGCAACCAATATTCTTGAACTATCATCTCAGGATATTAAAAAATCTTGTGGCTTGGTGAATCTGTATATAATGGCCTTCGAAATTGCACAATGAATAGTAACAATCAGTAAGCACTTTACAGGTTTTAAATTACTATAAGATATTTTTTCCTTCCTTTCCGCATGCCTTTGTTGTGTAACTGGAAGCATACTTGATGTGTATTCAGGAGGTCTAGCGTTCGAATCCCAGCAAGGACATTGCATATTTCTCAATATTACCTAATGACTCCACAGTGGCACCTGATCTAAAAGGTGGTGGACAATAATTCGTCACTACCAGGATTTGACAATTGAGTCCCCTCATCCCTAGTCACCATTTAAAATGGGGAGTATATAAGGTATTTTCTCCTTTTCTGCATTTAATAATAATTGGAAATGTGTTCAATACATATTTAGGGTCCAATGTTCGAAACCCATCAAGGGCACATTTTTCGAATTTCAGCATCCATATAATCTAATGACTCTATAACACAAAATGCTTTTTACTGTAAACTCACTATTTTTAAATGGAATTCATATGTACTACTGAACTTTAAATTTTATTTTCAGTTATTAGTTGTGTTTGAGATCAGCATAGAATGAAAATTTAGCCAGTTTTAATCTTTTTTATGTAATCAGTTAAAATTATGTCTTCATTTTAATTTACAATTGAATCTGACTTTGCAGTTCTCTTCATTTTACATTAAGATGACATTTGTATAAGTAAAATTTATGTTGCATTCCACAGCCTTGTTACACTCTGAGCTTTTGCTTTTTATCTTCCTGATTCAAATATATATAAACATTAAGCGGGTATATTACTTTCGTAACTGCGAGGTGAAAAAGTTTTAACTCTTTAGTCTTTACCTCCATTTTCTGAATCTCGTGCTTTTTTTAATCCACTATTTTCAGAGTTTAATGCTTTTTTTATTTTTTATATATAACTGCATATTAGAATTTTATTTTTTATATATAACTGCATCAAGAATTTTATACGATCCATGACAAAGCAAAGATCTGATTATTTCATTACTTTTGCCATCCATAATCAAATCCATCAAAGCTACTGAATTGATGCACAGACATGTTGTGCTAAGGTTAGTCACCTTTATTCTGTGATTGAAGAATATACAAAGGTAATGCTGTAACATTAAATTTTGTCAGTATTTGGGTGAGATATTTGGAAGAACTTCAGAAATGCTGATGAAAGCATATAGCGATTCTGTGATTAATATTCATGTTTTAAAGAGGGCTGCAAATCTGCCACAGACAATGTATGCTTTGGATTGCTGCATGTACTGTGAAAAATACTGTTGTTACAAATTTTATGTGAAATTGTTCTCTTTTCTGTGTAATATAATGCGAAAAATTTAAAGAAACAAGCCACGTCAAAACAGTAAGAATACAGGGGAAAGTGTATTTAACATTGAGTAAATGGGTATCTCGGTAATTTGGCAAAATTTCGGAAAGTTGGCTACGGTTTGGGCAAAAATCTCCAAATTTTGGTCTGGTCCCTGTATCACCATAACAGGTATTGTAATTGAATAAATGTAACTGATCACTATATTAGCTGTAACCATAATTTGATCTTCATATTGCCTCTTCCAGTAATTTTGATTAGCAGAAAGTATTATAAATATCTCGGTGGCCAGATGGAAACTATATAAAGCCAGAAAGAGCATCTGTTCTCGGTTGTTTTTCGCTGTTAGCTAAGCATAAGTTCAGAGTACTGAGATATCTCAGTGTAGCTTTCTCTTTAGCTGCACTTTGCATTGGATTGTGTTTAACATTCATAGTAGTTTAAAGTATAACTACTGCTTCTACTCTGTGGTATTGTGAAAAGTTCCAGATCTCTGAAGTGTCTCATTTGATAAAATAAATCTTATCAAGCTATTGTCGGATTAATTGAGTGAAACAGAGTTCTCACCAGGACTGCTTCCAAACTCTAGAGAAGGTCATCAAAATTATGGTTTTTTTTATGAGCAGAGCTTCTGTTGGCAGATTCTGCTAGGGGATCTTATACCATATGTATCAACACATTGTTCTTTGTGTTTTGATTTCTGAACAAAAGGAGAAATGCACGGGGATAATGGGTGAGTTAATGTATGAAGTTGGATAATAATCCAATATTTTTGTTTGAGATCATTACAGGAGATGTAACTTTTTTTATATTCAGCCAAAGCATGTTTCTTTAATTTGTAAATCATGATTTTCTCACTGCTAACTCCCGTCCTCCAAAAAGAAATAAAATTTCGTGCAGAATTACAGCAAAGGAAAAAAAAATCACATTGGAGGTTTATTATTATTATTATTATTATTTCTGGAGGAGAAAGGGGAAAAGTAGCACTATCTAGAGACATTTACATTATTTGTGGAAGGTTTCTTCTTCAACGAGTGCAAGTTGCAGCTGTTTTGCAAGGCAAAGGTCAAGGTCGTGCAACATGTTTTTGAATAGGTGGTCATAACGTTTTGGCTCTCTAATGTATTACTAACTTATATAAAGTATTACTAACATTTATTATCTTAGAAATAAAAGTAAAACTGAATTGTTGCTTCTTTGTCCTGATGGAAATTTTGTGATGGTGTGATATAGATTCAAAGCAATTACCTTCATTTGTGATTTTGCACAAGTTATTGTTATTTCCTGTAAAAATTTGATGACAGTTTCTCGTATTGCAGGCAAATCCCAAATGTACGTATTTTAAAATTTGTTAAAGACAAATACTATCACAATTTGTCTACAAAAACTGTTGGAACATGGAATGCAATAAATGGAACACTTATGAAAATGGTGACATTGCTTGTTAAAACTGAAAAATTGCATGTGCATGATTACCAGAGTTTGACCCATTCTGAAAACGTGCCAACTTTGTCTAAGGTGGTTGCAATAATATCCAAGTGCCTAATAATAGCTTTAAACATGTTCCATTTTTTATTCACATTTTTAAGAGTCTTAATAGCACTTTTATCTTGTTTTCTGATTGGGTTTAAATATCAAGTTTGTTTGATTTTTAAGTTATTTGCAATTAAATCTTTACAGGTATTCATTATGCCTTCATGGGTTTTCATGCATTAGAGAGTATAGCATTTATTTTTGCCACTGCTAAATACTGGATTAGATCAGCATTGTTTCTATGGTATATTTATATCAAATATATCAGAAATTTATTTTGTATTGATTGTAATATGATCTTTGTAGTTGAAAGTTTGCAGAAAAAAGACCACCATCATTAGATATATCTTCTTAACTATGATTTTCAATAGCTAATTTAATTCAGCTTATTTCTGATTTTAACATTCATATTTTTAAAGTTTATATTACCTTTACTTTTTGAGCTGTGTAATGTGCATTGTGCATGACAGTGTTCGTAAAGCAGTTCTAATCACTCTTCTTAAAGCATGAGTATTAATCACACTATAGTTGCAACAAGTTTTTCTGTATCTAATATTACACAATCTGGGAGGCACTATTTGCTGTAAGAAATACAAATAGTCAGAAACAAAAATGCCAAATTCTTTTGCTTAAATAAAATCTGTTTCAAAAAATGTGTTTTTTCCTGTCATGGCTATAGAAAATTATGCAGTTTCTGATTGTATCTCCAAACTATCTTAGCATCAATTGAATTTTGAAGCCTTTTCCTTCAGTGTAGAAAACAAATATTCTATGTGCCAGTTCTCACATCCTTTATAACGTTTGCCAAATTGTCTTCTATAAATTAGTATGATTTTTTTTTTTTTTTTTTTTCCCCTTGAGGTTTTGCTATGAGATTTTTGCATAAGATTAACCCTATTCTAACCTTCAGTTTGAAGGACCCAGATAGATCTTTATTAATAGACCTTACTCCTCATTACATACTCTTTGACTTGTTTAGCTATTGTTGTGAAAGCGTTTTATGTTCATCTGCACAAACTCAACACCATGTTCAAGGTGAAATATGAACATAGAAGTTTGCAGAAAGATATATGTCCTAAATTGCTCAAAATGTGGTGAAGAAGACTGTGCATCTTCTTCCTGACAAAACATCTATACATCCATCCTTCATGCTCACAGATTTTCTTCACATAAATTTGTACTGAGGTGCTACCACATCCCAGGTACTTATCAGACTCTCTGATTTTTGTCTTTTTCTATTAGTGAAACAAAATCTGTGAGAATGATGATTTATTACAACAAATAAGGTAGAATAAAAAGAAGTATAATGAGTGGTTACAAAAAATGCCTTGTAGCAGTGCTTCCAGAAGCCCTAGGAATACTAGCAGAATTGCACAACAGGATTATTCTGAAGATTGGTTTCAGTCTTGCTTATGATACAGAATATTGCTGTTATTCCTTCTAAATGGCTTAAAACAGTCTAATTTTTTTCTGTTATTTCTACCTCCAAAAGAAGCATAAAATCTGTACTTTAAATAATCCTTAAGCACCTTTTTGTCTTTTGAATTAGAGAAATGATTTCTGGATACCAATAACTTCATTAGAAGCAGAATTACTTCTAGCTGTATATCGCTGATACGTAATGTTTAAATATGTATTTTTTAATTTTAAAAAATTTGCAGAAAAATAGGTTTCTCCTAAAGTGGGTGGAAAAATAATTTTATACATTTCCCTTGTATAAAAAATATTTTTCCTAAAAGATATACGTTTATTAAAATTCTTTGTTTAATAAGTACACAAAACTTTATACAGTACAAAGTCCGAAATTAGGACGTCCATTATCTGGAATGATCTAAAATCCAAACCTCAAAACCACAAACTTTTTTTATGTGTGTTGTGTATGCTTTATGCATGTGTATTTGATTTGTCCTTCCATAATAAAAAATGTGAGGATTTTCGTTTAAAAATTCTGATTCTCAATTTCACTTAGGCACTAAATAAAATACCTCGTTATGGAAAAACAATAACGTAAGCATAGATTTGTGAGATTAATAATTTGGCTTCATATCTGAGTATACATACATCTCAAACCGAAACATTCACCTATATATTTTATATCCCTGATGCCGACCTGGCAAGTCATTATTTATTATATTTTGCTTTCATTACCGCATGTTTAGCAATACATGACAGCTTCAGTAATAACTCATGCAGTGATGTCTAAACTTTTTTTTTTATATTAGTAATTGAATAACAAGAGTATGGCAACCTTTTATGCTAGCATTACTCTTGGCAATGATTATAGATTTTTAAATGCTCTAAGAAATGTTCACAAGGAAAAATTTATTTTCATATGCTAAAAATAGATTTTTGTTAATGAAACTTATAGGCCAAAGATTACATTTAGTGCTATTTAATTAAGAATAACTTATATGTTATTCACCATAAAGCCATTTACAGAAGAATTCTACTCAATTTTTATGCTTAAATAAACAGGTTGAACAAAGTTGAGAAATGGAAAATTGCAGGAAATATATTGTTTCTTCTATTTTTTTAATACAGTTGATAGTTATTTCAAAAAGTGTATACAGTACAAAGTCCAAAATCCGGACTCGTCGGGACTTCGACAATTTCGGATTTTTCCAGATATTAGATCATTAATTTAAATCTGGTAAGATGGCATGCAGAAATTATACAATTAAAAATATGAAATCATAATTTATGAAATAAAGAACAATTATGATCTAAAGGGGTATCAAAATTTACAAAAAAAGCTAAATATTGATTTGTTTACTTTATTAAACACTTCATTAAACATTTCTTTCAGTGTAAGTTGTTTAAGTTTATTAAATACACAAAACTTTATACAGTGAGAAGAAGAAAGGCGGCAGATTATGTTGGCACTGGACCGCAGAATTTAGGGAAGACGAAATTTTTGGAATTTGGGGAAGCACCGAGCAGCAAAATTAAAGGATGAAAAGTTGTTTATGATTTAGGGAAAGCACTGGGATGCAAAGTTTAGGTGCAGTGAAAATTTAGAACTTAGGAAGGAGCTTTGTAGCAGAATTTAGTACCCATAAAGACTGCACTAGGCGGTATTTAGCGCTGCCCTAGATAAAGCGTATATGTGGGAGTATATTTATTTAGAACTCAGATTAGTTTTAAGCATGTACAAGAAATAAACATACTTATACAGTCAAAAGTCGTTAATTCGGACACCCATAATCCGGAATGATCTATAATCCGGACCTCAAAGCTACAAACTTTCTGCGCATGCGTCGTGTTCACGCATGCGCACAGGCGTTTACAAGAGCGCGTAAGACCCTTATGGCTGCGAATATGTTTGTGCGCATGCGCGTTTAATGTGTAACGGAGTTATACGCTAAGCTAAAGTTATCTAATTCAGTTAATGTTGCAGATTGCGTTGTTCCTTAATCTTCGAATTGGATCCGGCTTATTATTTTTTGCAGACTGTTAGAGCAATTTTATAAAAGTAAGCTTGAACTTTCGATTATGTCAAATAGAATTTCCGATATATATTTACTACAAAGCGAAAGTATGTTTTGAAATCCGAAATCTGTTTATCAATTTCACGCTGCTCTGCGGCAGAGGGGAGGGGGCAGAAACGTCATTATTAGATTATGATAGATTAGAAAGATTATGTCAAATAGAATTTCCGATATATATTTACTAATATGTAATTTGTATCTACAAAGCGAAAGTATGTTTTGAAATCCGAAATCTGTTTATCAATTTCACGTGGCGGATTGGAAGTTAATCTGTCAGCACTATCCTTGTCTTCAGGGCAGATGTTTTTATTTTATTTGGTTTATAATTCCGTACTAAGTGTAGTATTTCATCTCGATGTACTCCGTCTTTGATATGATTTAAATCAAGTTCCTCGTCATTATAATTCGCTTCCGATAGTGAAGAAAGTGACCCAGAGGTTATTGAAAACGAAAACATTTCGATTGACAAATTAGTCCGTATTCTCAACACAGCAATTATAGGACTTGAACAGCGGAACTTTGTAACTAAACAAGAAATTATGTCTGTTTAATAGAATTAATGAGAAAGTATTATCCCATGAAACGAAGCAACTTACATTGAAGGAAATGTTTAATTAAGTAAACAAATAAATATTAAGCTTTTTCTTTTTGTAAATTTTGATACCCTTTAGATCATAATTGTTCTTTATTTCATAAATTATGATTTCATATTTTTAATTGTATAATTTCTGCATGCCATCTTACCAGATTTAAATTAATGATCTAATATCTGGAAAAATCCGAAATCATCCCGACGAGAGTTATACCACAAGTCCGACGAGTCCGGATTTCGGACTTTGTACTGTATACACTTTTTGAAATTACTATCAACTGTATTAAAAAATGGAAGAAACAATGTATTTCCTGCAATTTTCCATTTCTCAACTTTGTTCAACCTGTTTATTTAAGCATAAAAATTGAGCAGAATTCTTCTGTAAATGGCTTTTCATATTAGTTTTGCATTTGTTATATCATGCAATATCTCACTTTTTTTTATGTTCAAAATTCATTTTTAGAAATATCTGGAGAAAGATTATGGATGGAGTTGAAGAAAATTCTTGGTGGAAACTTTGCTAAAGAGCTTATTCTTCAAATGATTGATTTAGGAATAGGTCCTTTTATTGGTAATTTCCTGGCCATTTTATTGATAAATGAATCTGTTCATAACAATGTTTGTAATCATTATATAACATGATGAAGTTTCATTGATTTTGAAAGTACAATATATGTTAATATAACATATTTATATCTAATTAATCAATGCTATACTATTTTTGAATTGTTTCTGAAAAGAAGTATACAGTTTCAGTAGTTTATATTAAAAAAAAAAAAAAAAAAAAAAAAGGATTTTTAAAAGTGCAGGGAAAGATATGATGAAACTTGAAAAGGTATGTATGTGTAGGTATGAAATTTTTTACACCATATATCATATGACTTGGCATACTGAATGGCCTGTTTATGTTTTAGAAATATATAAAAAGAAATGTTTTCTTGGGTTTTTTTTTAAGTAAATTTTGATTAAATTTCCAAAATTCATTTCCCAAACAAGAAATACTGCAGCTAGTATGCAAAATTTAAACATAAGAGCTGTTTACAAAAGTTCCAGCTGGCATTGAATATCTGAATAAATTCAAAGCTTCCTTCCAACAAATCCAAAGAAACCAATGATATGGCCAAGTCAACATCTGATTTTATAGTATACATTTTTAAAAATTGTGCAAAAGCGGTTAAAATTCATTATGTGTAAGTTGCTAACATTCAAGCACTTGACTAAGATGCATTAAAATAGGTTCGGTAAGACCTGGATTGCCAGCTAAAGGCTGTTTCCACTAAAGGGTTTACCCAAGCTAGCAAAGAGAGATGTCACAACAAGCACTGATTCAACAGAATAGAAAATTACTTTTTCACCACAGTAAAGCTGCAGTTTCTTATTTGAAAAAGCTCAACTTTGCATTGTAGACATTTGGAACTGACCAATCATGTAAGAAAAATTGATCATCATCATCAGTGTGTCAGGTTTTAACACACAAGATGGCTGACAATGTAAATAAAAGCTTCCTAAAAAGATAGGGATTGCCTCAGGAGGTGCTGAGAATAAATGTGAGGTTTTCGCTAAAGGAAATAGTTGTAGGTGTAAAAGGATAATGCAGTTATATGATGTAGAAAATTCAAAATAAAGAAAAACTTTGCAGTAGAAGTAAAGAACACTACGTAAAGGGAAAATTAACTTTCTATAAACAAGTGTAATGTTGAAAAATATGTAAAAGTGGCTCTTTGCCAAAATTTAATATTTTGAAATTAAATTTAAAATACTCAAATAATTTAGATAATTTAATAGAAATTATCTAAATTAATTTCTATTAATTTAATAGAAAAGATGATATATATATACAGGGTCATTCTAAATTGTTTTTACAAATTAAGAGGGGTGATAGTACCCATCCAGACGAGCAATAATTACTGTAGCACATAGGGTTGCATTCCACTCTGAGAGGCAGAAAACAGGAAAGTAGAATGCATCGACAAAGAACAAGAAGACCAATCTCATAACACTATCAAGAATTAACTGTATGCAAATTTGCACTGAGAAGAAGCAGCATTTTGCTCTTAGTTGGTACTGGAGAAAGCCAATCAAGAGCATATGGTATCCTTAAAAACGGCACAACATCGTTGCTTCAAGTATTACCTAGATAACATGGTCTGAAACTTGGTGAATTCTGTGGCATGGTAGAAACATGGTGAAATCTATGGCGGAGTACACGTATAAGAAATTGGTGGATATTCGTTCACTTATGATGAAGCAAAATAGAATGGACGCGAAGCACGAAAATTGTACGAATACGGTTGTACGGTTTCCAACTCGTCAGATTCCAAGTCATCCAACCTTTTACAGTATTGATCAAAGACTGCGAGAAACCGGTTCTTTTGCCATCTCAAAAGGCAATGCAGGATGTTCGCTAAATGCACGATACTCAGAAATGGAAGAGCGAGTTTTGACTAGATTTGAAGCAGTTCCTTCCACAAGTATGCGAGCGGTGGCATATGAAATGTGTGTTCTCAGCTAGTGGTATGGCGTATTTTACATGAGGAACGCATGCGCCCTTACCACATGCAAAAAGTGCAATTTTTGGACACAGATGATTATCCCTGTGGGGGCATACATTGTGCAGTGGATGCTTGGAATGAGGAATAATGATGCACGATTTCCTGCATTAATATGATTTAGTGATGAGGCGACATTTAGCAGAGAAGGCATTTTCAACGTTCACAATCAACACATTTGGTCTGACAAAAATCCCCAATGCACTACCCCTCATAAACACCACCAGAAATTTTCTGTGAATGTCTGGCAGGTATCCTAGGTGATTACCTGGTAGGCCCTTACATCATGCCAGACCATTTGGCACAGCATAGTATATTTTCTTGGAACAAGTGCTTCCTAATTTATTGCAGGCTGTTCTGCTCCCCATACAGAGAGACATGTGGTTTATGCACGATGGAGCCCCAGCACATTTGTCTGTCATGGTCCATAACCTTTTCAATGCCACATGTTCAACACAATGGATTAGATGAGGCGGACCTGTGACTTGGCATCCTCACTCACCAGACCTCAACCCACTGACTTCTTCTTCTTGGGGACACATGAAATCTTTAGTGTGCAAGACACCTGTGAACTCAGCTGAAGATCTTGTGGCGAGAATTGTTGTTGACGCAGATAAAATTATAGTGACACCGGGAGTTAACAAGAGGGTGCGCCAGTCATTCCTTCGCCGATGTCAACACATGGTCGGCATTTTGAGCACTGTCTGTGAGTTTTTCACCGAACAATAAATCTGATCGCCCAATTTCTGTCTCGTTCATTCGCTTTCTCAACACTGTTTAATTTATGGTGGTAATTCTAATATTCCTTTACTCTGCCTCTCAGAGTGGAATGTGATCCTATGTTCTATGGTAATTATAGCTCATCTGGATGGATAATATCACCCCTTTTAATTTGTAAAAACAATTTGGAATCACCCTGTATATATAAACCTCAGCAATGCTTGTAATTTATCTGCTGACAGCGACACCATTTTGTGGTATAACTAATTATACAGGGTTCGTATGGTCCTTAAAAGTCCTTAATTTTTTCAAAAATGATTTTTGGTCCTTAAAAGACCTTAATTTTGGCCAAAATTAATAAACGGTCCTTAATTTTGCTCATTTGACATTTCTTATCATTTCTAATGATTGCCATTCTATGAGTGAATTGCGATTTCTCGTGAATATGGAATTAAAATTGCACGGCTCTTAACCATTCTGTTGGCGGATTTGCATTGCAAATGATAAAAAAAAACAATTAGCTCCTCGAACGAAAGTATCGGTGTCTGATTGGCTATTCACCCAATCTTTCGAAACAGTTGTTATCCATAAATTTGGGCAGATTGTGATGAAAGCGTGAAGCTGGAAGTTCTTTAAGAGGCGAAAGTGATGATGAAGGTGCTCGAGAAAAAAAAATGGGGATTCTGAAAATATTTGCCAAAATTAGAGCAGTCCCAACCTGGAAGGCCAGAACCCTTCCGACGCCAATAGGAACGAGAATGCCTGGAAAAAGTGCATTTTCAATAAGCTGTGGCCTCATCAAGCTGACTACAAAGACTGGATATTGATGGATGACAAAGCTTTATAAAGCTAAATGCGGTCTTTGTCTGAAACAAATTGAAATTTCTAGAATGGGAGAAGTCAGCGCTGAAAATTCACATGAAAATTAAGTTTTGTTTTATCATTTCAATTTGTTTTTACACGGTTTTGCTTAGCTTAATTTCTGTGTTGGTTTCAATTAAGCCATAAATTAATTTGTATCACCTTCTACGGAGTTTTTTGTTGTTTGTTGAGTTTTTTACATTACTATTTGATGAGACTCTTAATCTGACAAATCAAAAGAAGCAACTAGATATTTATGTGAGGTTACTGGCATCACGAAAATAAGGTCAGAACTCAGTACCTTACTTCTGCATTTATAGGGCATGCAACAAGTGAAATTGTTTTATCCAAATTTTATGAATGTGTTGAAAAACTAGACTTGTCAAAACTCTTACAAATATCGATGGATGGTCCTGCAGTAAACTGGAATTTTATGATTTATTGCAACAGACTTGACAAAGGAATATAACATTCAATGCTTGACATTAGGGACATGTGGTTTACACATTCTTAATAATGCTTTCAAGCATGGGATGTCATCCACTGGCTGGGACATTTCCATCATTCTTATCCTCCTTACATTGGATTTTTAAAGATTCTCCTGCAAGACGTGAAGGTTTTTTTAAGTATATCTGGCTTAAAAAGAGCTTCCTGTGAAGTGCTACTTTTACCGATGGTTGCAAAATGTCCCAGCAGTTGTAAAGAGCCATTGAGATATGGGATGACTTGCTACATGTACATTGAAAATGACTTGTTGAAATGGGGCAGTTTAAAAAAAATTCATTCGAAATCCGTTCTCAAATATTTTGGAGAGCTAGCTAAGGCTAAAACACTTCTTATAAAATTAAATTTTTTTCTCTCTCTATCGAAAATATTTATTGCCTTTCCTTGAATATTATCAAAGCGATAAACCACTTATTCCCTTTTTTGCTGAAGATATCTTAAAACTTGTAAATGATTGCCTTCAGCACTTTAAAATTTGAAACTAGAATATTCAAAAATAACTAAAGCAGAAAATCTTTATAAATTTAATTTTAATGATCCAAATTGTTATAATGATAAAAGTAAAGTTTATTTTGGGATTCATTGCTGAGCAGTTAATAATGATAAATGCCACAAGAAGGACATTTCACAAGCTGAAAGTTTTCCATTGAAACAAGAAGGTCAACAATGTGTCTTAACAATAGTACAAACACTTAATGTCTAAATGTCCAATAAATTATTCTCTTATTCGAAATGCATCTTGTATAGACCCGCGATTGATGGTTAAAAGTCCAGAAAAAGCCTAGAACAAATAAAAATAGTTCTAACGGTATTAAATGCAGAATAAACGTGTTTACAAGATGATTGGGATGAAATTCTGCTGCAGTTTGGAGAGTTTCTAGACAAAGTAGTTAAACAATTTACATGAATTTTCTACTTTTGATCCTCAAAATCTTTCTCTTCACAGATTTCTCACTTCTTACTTTCATGATTTTCACTATTCAA